ATTCTCATGTCCCTCGGAGTCGGTCGTGAGGGGAAAACTTGAACTTTCTTGTTGCTTGGTACCTCCGAAGGGAACAAACAGCACGGTTTGTAGCTTGATATTCGACTGTCAACCAGCAACCGGGATATTCTGCGTGATAGTGAGCAAAAGCCGCGATCGTTCGTTTTCCTCCATCCCAGGAGGGAAATCACAGGCTATAAATATAGGCCTTTTCCAACGCGATGCAGGGCCCAGACTTGATTCCACGGATTACCGAAATGAAAATTACCCTCCTTTTCGACCAGGACAGGATCTACAGCGCACCGATTGACGATCCGTTAGCTACCGTATTCTACACAAGATACCACACCCCGGTGATAACATTTTGGGCTTCAAAAATATTATCACCGGGTGTGGTATTGTGGGGGGGGTGTGGTATCTTGTGTACCCCGGTGATAAAGCCTAGCTCGCAGGAGCTCCTCAGGGGGTGTGATAAACCAGGGGGTGTGGTAGCACATGCGACCACCCACAGGGAGGGTTTGGGAGTGGGATAAAAAAGGGGGTGTGATAAAATGGGGTGTGATAACACGTCGGAACACCCAAAGAGTGTGTTCGGGTGTGTGATAAACAGGGGGTGTGCCGCTTGCGTAGAAGTCTGCTCGGGTTGAAAGAACGAGGTGATCTGTGGCGCCTGTGCTGCTGCGGTCGAAGCAGTCGTGGGAGAAGCAGATGTACTTGCGGCGGCATTCTGCTCTTCCCGCACGTTCATGTTCTCTGAGGTCTCCATGTCTCCCCCCGTACGGTACAAGCTGTGCGTGTGTGATGCTGTTTCACCCCCGGTGATAGAGACAGGGAATGTATGCGGCGTAACCTGTGTTATCACCGGGGTGTGGTATCTTGTGTACCCCCGGTGATAAATCATGGTCTGAAAAATACACCCAAAATTACCACCGGGGTGTGGTATTGTGGGGGGGGTGTGGTATCTTGTGTACCCCGGTGATAAAGCCTAGCTCGCAGGAGCTCCTCAGGGGGTGTGATAAACCAGGGGGTGTGGTAGCACATGCGACCACCCACAGGGAGGGTTTGGGAGTGGGATAAAAAAGGGGGTGTGATAAAATGGGGTGTGATAACACGTCGGAACACCCAAAGAGTGTGTTCGGGTGTGTGATAAACAGGGGGTGTGCCGCTTGCGTAGAAGTCTGCTCGGGTTGAAAGAACGAGGTGATCTGTGGCGCCTGTGCTGCTGCGGTCGAAGCAGTCGTGGGAGAAGCAGATGTACTTGCGGCGGCATTCTGCTCTTCCCGCACGTTCATGTTCTCTGAGGTCTCCATGTCTCCCCCCGTACGGTACAAGCTGTGCGTGTGTGATGCTGTTTCACCCCCGGTGATAGAGACAGGGAATGTATGCGGCGTAACCTGTGTTATCACCGGGGTGTGGTATCTTGTGTACCCCCGGTGATAAATCATGGTCTGAAAAATACACCCAAAATTACCACCGGGGTGTGGTATTGTGGGGGGGGGGTGTGGTATCTTATGAGGGTGTGGTATCTTGTGTAGAATACGGTATTGAGTAGGAAGAAACGTAGGGCACTCTTCGTCGCACCGGTTTGGTGGTGCTCCGTCAAGAGACGACCGCGCTACATAGTTGTCCCCAGAATTGGTGGGAGATGTGGATATCTCACCCCAAAACCCCGGGAGTAGAGTGAAAGGGGTAACACGACAGCGGAGATCTCACGCACGCGACTCAAACCACGGGAGGAACAAAGGTACCACCGGAAAGACTCGCACATCCTCCATGGGGACATGCCCACTGGCCGTGGCCCAATCCCTTCGGCATGTAATAAAGCAGAGCAACAGCAGACCTGGTGCCCGCTCTCTGACTACATAACAAGAAGTTTTGACGGTGCGACCTTCTTCCCGTTGGAAAATTTCACCATGTGTGTGAAATAAGACAGATGGGAGTCTTTGCTAGAGCAGCAGCAGCAGCAGCAGCAGCAGCAGCAGCATAGAGCGAAATTGAGGCATTGGTGCTGTTGACGCAGTTGCGACGTGAGGCTCAAAACGATCGGAATGATGCCTTTCGCCGGACAACATTAGGAAGGGGGACGAGGTCACCAAACAAACGACGCCGCCTCCAGCAAGTGAAACACATGGAAACGAAGGACATGAGAATGAGATTTGACAAGCGATATATGCGAGACCACACACGGGTCACGGCTGGCTTTCTTTGAACGGTGATCCTGCCACTTTCCACTACCTGCTGCCCGACCGGCTCTATCGAGATTCGTGTCTGCCACCATCATTCACTTTTGGCAGTGCTATTTTTAGGTGCCGACCGTTTGGTGGTACTGCTGTAGCAGGGTCAAGTGTGTCACGGCGTGTATAAGCTCTTCCGCCGTTGGTGTAGAATTTGACACTCCAGCGTGGAGCGGATGCATCAGTCCTGAAGATCAGCTCCAACATTCCGGATACGCATGCATGGATTGAGGAAGTCTTCGCGAGTGCGTGGTTGCTTTGAAGCAGCGTGTGTTGCGCAGCATCTCAGGTATACTACCGCAAGGTATTGAGTCGTACCCCGCGGCTCATCACCCCGTCCTACTAGTAGCGTACCACAAGGTTAACCTGGGAGGGTTGGTGCGGTTTACAGCGAAAAAACAATGGTACTAGTTGCCTTAATCGTGGGTCTGCACGAACCGCCGTCGACCCACCACTACTACACTACGACTTGCATAACACTATCAGCACGGAAGCTGGACCTACCTCTGAATTTCTGCTTCACTCTTGTTGTGGGGGTTGAAGTCGGCTCCGCCTGCCGCGGCCCCCAAATTGCTTCCGGTGAGAGCGTTAGCAAAGACAGTTTCCATCCCGAGCGCCTTACAACCATCACTGCTCATGCCTCCGAAAAAGTGCAGTCCACCTTCGTATGGCCCAAGCGCGCTGGAATATTGGACCCTGAACCCACGGTTCATTCGGGAGTTCCCGTTATCATCCAGCCAGGCCTGGAATCAACGGGTGGCAAAACAGCGTGTTGGTCCATACCCACCCAACTTTCAGACAGGCGTCCACGGTTTCGCGAAGCCTTGAAACAGCAGTGGTGGACGACGCTTCCTGCAACAGCAATGATATGGGACGACTTCGAAAACGCAATCAGACATGGTCTTGCCCTCTGTGTTCTCCATCGCAATCCACACGTACCACACGGAACTGAATGGCGCGCTCCGGCTCCAGAAGCTGCTTGGCGATCCAAGCGTACTTGGGAGCCCGGTCAAAGACGGGAGCCAGGGCTGGAAGTAGGCCCTGCAGAGACTCCAAAAAGTCTGTTGAGTGCGGATCTTTGCGGAGAGCTTCTTGGAGGAGCATCTCGGTCGCCTCAGCGCCGGTCCTGAATTGCTGGTCCCCCTGAGTAATTCCACGGTATGTTACATGTTATGAAACAGAAGCACGAACGTGCAATTAAATTCATATCGCCTCCAACTGTTTGTATTTTCAACATATTACGGCGGAGCTCAGGACTAGAAGTAGGTCCTGCACAGACTCCAAAAAGTCTGCTGAGTGCGGATCTTTGCGGAGAGCTTTGTGGAGAGGCATCTCGGTCGCCTCAGCGCCGGTCCTGAATTGCTGGTCCCCCTGGGTAATTCCACGGTACGTCATGTAATGAAACAAAAGCACAAACGTCTTGAAATGCATACCGCCCCCAACTGTTTGTATTTTCAACATCATACGGCAGAGCTCAGGTAGTGCTTGCTCATGGGATGGTCTGTAAACCGTTTCTTGGGCCCCCTCGCTTTCTCTATGTTCAGGATGATTTCGATAAAACGACGCGGCGTATGCCTTGTCTCGAGTGCATCGCTCTTGAACCATGCTGCTCCCCGCCGTGGCAGACAATTCACCACATTTTCCCACCTTGGAAATCAAAGCTAACTCTACATTCAGATAAAGGGGGGTCCCCGTGACTTCGTACATCACAATAGTATTATTGTACAACTACGAAGTATCGTATCAGTTCGTCCGTATGGAACACTAACGAATGACTGCTGTATGAAACGGCCAGTATGCAACCCGCACATGGTTCGGCTTGGCTTCCAAGAAAACATGTCCGCATGATTTCATTCTCCGCGTACGCCTTGAAGCGACACATACGCTGCATTGACGTCAGCATCATTACCTCTGAGCGCCATGTCGGCGCCAAGAGGCCGGTATGCTCTCGAGGTCGCTGGCTCACTCCAAATATGAACACGAAAGCCGTTTGCATTTTCAGGCGTCTTCGGCACAACAGCACTCTCATGGACGATGATGTCACTTCGTCCGTTTCGAACACAACCCTGCCCATCGGCGCATGCGGTGCTTTGTTCAGTCATCCAACCGGTTTCCCTTTAACCCACTCGCTTGTGCTGGGCCGAGCGCGAGATTCCCAGTGTGCACTCACTCATGACACCACGGCCGTGCTCCGAATACGACCATCGTACACGCACCTACGCACGCATGACACATGTCCGTCCTAATTACTGCTTGCTGTACAAGTACACAGACAGGTAAATACTCAACACATACCTCACGTCGAAAAAGTGGTTTGTTGCGCCATGTCTTTTGCCCAGAGCCAGAACCATGAACTCCACCAAACCGGTAAAGCGGGCTGACGGTGTCTTGCTTGATGCGAAGGCTGGTCTTCGACCTTGTCACGAGCGAGCGCGACGTAGGAGGCGCTTGGTTGAAGTTTACCGCTCTCGTCGGCGTCTTTGCGCGCGTCGTGATCGCCTGCAGCCTCAACATGCTGCTTGCTCGGGTGGCCATGCTTGAGATAGTTCCGATATCACCTGTATTCTACCCCGCTCTTCTTGGTATTTTTCCTTTTCTCCCCCCCCACTGCTGTAAGCTGTCCTATTAGTGCAAAGAAGAACAGACACAGAAGCAAGTGCCAGCTGCTGCGGGGTGAAGGTCTGCCCCCCACCTGTAATGAACCCCCCCCTTTATTTTACCATTTAGCGATGCCCCCGGGTGCTTGACAACTCAATAGGAGGAGAGCAGAGACAAAAGCGAGAGCGAAAGAGAGACGAAAGAAAAGGAGAGCGAGTAGACGGGTCCACGTCTGCCTTGGCCAAGTATTTCTCGCCATGTCCTCAAATTTCTTCCGAGGAACTACGGCAGGTGAGTACTTCAGCGGTGATGCATCCGTGATCCTCAACGACAACGATGATTCCAGATAACGCACATTGTACATCAGTAATGCATTGGGTACAACGTACACGGCAATGGTTTGGTACGTACAGTAGCCCAGTGTGCGTGTGCTGTTGTTGTTATGTGATGCCCAGTGTGCGTGTGCTGTTGTTGTCATGTAATGCTCCGTCGCTTGGGATGGGCATCAGTTGCCATTCGTTGACTGTGCCATGATATTTTGTGTGCAGGCCACCCCATTAAGACTATTGTCGTACACCAGTCGAACCTCAGTGAACGGATGGCAAAGAAATTTTGATGTTGACTACTCCTGTACAGCTGTAATTTTTATTTTTGAAAACAAACGCAAGAGCACCAGAAAATGCAAAACAGACCCATAAAACCCGTCGGAAGGCATCGCGAAAAACAGAAATCGTTGTTTCTCGCACAGCGCGGCAGTAGGGGCTGCTCAAACGATACATTTCACGCGTCTACCTCCACACGCCCCCTTTGAAATCAAGATAAAATCCACACTATTCTAAATTCAAGTCAAAGGAGCCAAAACGGCAGGCGCTCAAATATTGTCGAGACACACAAACTGGGAGTTGTGTTTCCAAACGATATGTCAAGCGATTCACTCGCGTGTACGCAGCAGATTCAAACGAGGAAGCGGGACGGCTGAATCGTTATCGGGATAAAGAATCGGGCGTCACCCAAAGCTGATGTGTCCAGTAAAAACATCGAACGTTGTAACAACCACCGTCCGAACAATGGGATGGTACGATAAAGCTTTGTGTCGCACGGACAGAGTGCAACTTGGACCCAGTTTCATTACGCTGAGAACTTCTGGTAATGGCCAGTACGCTTGGAATAGAACTGGTCTCACTGCCAACGAAAGTGATGGGCTTGTGCTGTTGCACCGCCTACGCATGTAGTTGACAAACCCTCGAAGGAGAGAAGCAGAGCATAGAATCAGCCACCATTTGTGTAGGAACTTGACCGTACCCCCGCACTAAAACGATCTGTGTGTGTCACCTCCTTCTTCGCAACCAACCATGCTGTTGCCGCGTACAACTTCGAAGTTGTGGCACACTGACCGTCCAGCTTCGCTAGTGATTACGAAATAGAGACCGCACTCAGCACTGTCACAGGCCGAGGCCGAACAAAATACATGCGCATTCATTGGGGGACAATCCCGCAATATCCCCGGCTTCCTGCTGACAGCGTGTGCGAGACATTTGTCGACGGTTAGGTGGGCTGTAGATTTGCACCACCTGCAGACTGTGGAACGTCGGCGAGCGCGTTACAACCGCAGGATGATATCCACAGGACACATGAAAAAACGTTGTTCGCCTTGTGCTACATTGGCTTTAGTTGGTCCTGTGCACGAGGCTTGTTCCTCAAGGAACCCAGGGGCAATCTGGTGTAGATCGATGCGTTGCGCGATCATCGCAACACCGCCGTGTCATCGACCATTAATTGAGCGAGGTCCCTTCTATGTTCCCTTCCCATGAGTGAACTTTTGACTCTTTGTTTGGTTCTGCTTTCGAAGCGGATGTATTCATCGGCAGTGGTCATGTGCCGCGTACACGCCAAAAACGTGGACGCCAGTACCTTCGCTGCAGCCAGTGTTTTCAATAACTTGAAATCTAAATGTACCGCCTTTGAACGCGAGCAATGCTGCGTGTGCAGAACTACCTTTGACACTCTTCCTGCGGCGGTCCAAGTTTTTTGTTCTCAACTGCTGGGCATGTGTGCAGATCAAATGCAAAACGACCGCAGAGTGGAATGTGAGCTTGCTGGTGTGCTTCCGTGAACCAGCCATGCCTATTTCCGGTAAAAGCGTTATGAAACTTGCTGAGAAATTCACCATTTGCTACCCCCTCGTCTCGTCCTCCTTTTGTCTCTTGCGCCTTTTGGTTTTAGAACAAGACAGTCGTTGGGGCGATGCAGAGAAGAAGCTTCTGCGCCGAACGAAGTTTAGCAAAGTATTGGAACAGAAGGTGTGAGATGCGACACAACACGATGTAGACTACTTGGCATGAGCTAGTGTATCTGTTTTTTTCTTTCAGGGAGATGCCAAATTGCCTGGAACATTCTTGTCGGTGCACAAATAGTCTCTATCTGGCCGCGCGTTTACTTGTAGATTAATTATTTCACGTTGATGCGTAGCGTATCCTGTTGTGGAGAGGTCCCTAATAACCCGCCTGTGTTTCGGTTCAAACGTAGCACCCGGCGATATACGGGTACGTTTTTGGACCTCATTTGCAGGTCAACATGAAGAAGGTCAATATGGACGTGATGCAGCGATGGATCGCTCAGCGGATAACGTCGCTACTCGGATTTGAGGACGACATTGTGGTGGGCACGTGCGTCAACTACCTGTCGGAGGAGGTATGCGTAGTCTGTGGTTCCCTGTTGTGACGAGCGCTTGGGTCAACGCGTGTACACAATACTGCTGGCCATCACAAGCTTGACGATATCTTACCGTGGGTCACATGATACAAGATACGGCAGCCCCTGGATCGAGCTTCAAAGCTCGACTACACTCCACGACGAAGAGATGCCAAAATCTGATGATATCGTTTTCGAAAAGCTCTCGACGAGACGGTTCCAACACCACCTTTTTCGGCGCCGTCACCGCTTTTCGCTGCAGAGTAGTCGAGCTTTGAAAATCGGTCCAGCGGGTGCGATATCTTATGCGACCTACGGTATTGTGGAGCAGAGTGAGGTTTTCAAACACCGGCGCGCGAAAAGATCAACTGCGTGAGTTTCATGAACGGGTATTTGCTTCGTAGCGTTGTCTTTTTTTTTTTGGTCCTCACTTCAAATCAGCGCCCACAGCACTATTGCCGTTTACTCCAACCCGTGGTCACACAGAAGGGCCCCTCTCTACCCTCCCCTCCTGCGGCACGTTTCCTTCGATTTTTGATGCGAGAAGAGTTCAGCACTCTCTTCCCTTCGTGTACACACGAACTAACGCTATCCACTGTAGGCTACGAGCGGAAGCAAGAGAAAAACTCATTTTGCAAGAAAAGCTCGCTCACGCCGGGATTTGAACCCCTGACCTGACCTCTAGATGGTTTCGAGGATACCAAATAGCCCACGGCGACCGGTGGATTCTACTTTATTATCTACTTTTGTTTATTTCGTCACGAAGTACAGTGTAGGGACAGCGCGACTAGCAACGGTGACACCTCGCTTCACAGCAGTACGCCCGATGGATTCAAGTCTTCGTGCAAGCGTTTTTCACGCCTTTTGTGGCAGGCAGGGTCCTTCGTTCGGATATTTGCAGAGTGTTTCATGTCGAACGAGTGTTTTCGACACGGGTATGCATCGGCCCCGTTGCTCAGCTCTGCGATTTCTCTGTACTGCGACTTGTGTGCGCTCCATGGCTTCTGCCTCACATGTTCAACGCGAATTAGACTACAGATCACCCGCTCTCGAGAGTGATCAATTTGTGCAAACAGGGCGTGTTCAAGACAACGTGAACTAAATAGATATGATGTGTGTAAGATGGTTCCCTGTTCTTCGACGGCATAACAAGAACCGCGGCAATCCACAAGCAGCTCGTGATTGTCTCGTTGATCGCAGGAGGGACGCATAGCACTCAGCCCCCCGCCGTACGGTCCGGAACCACTGTAGAGGTCGCTAAGGTGTTTGACATGTAAGTGTTGATGAAATGGCACGGGGAAGCAATTGCACTCAGGTTTTTATGCCTCGTGTTGTTTCGTGGCCACCTGTCACCCGTTCCTCGAGTTCTTGAGGACATTTAAGTCAACAGACCTTGGCTTTTTATTGTACTTCGAAGAGATTCGTGAATGGTTTGAATGTCCTCCATGGTTCCGATTGACCGCTGGCCCCGATGCCCTTAGGTTGCCGGTGGAAGAGTTTTATACATGTTGGTACAATCATGTTTGTTCGACAAGCCGTACAAATCGGCTCTTGTTGTGGTGCGTGGAACGGCATGAACAGTTTTTTGGCGACAAAGGGGTGAAGCAATGATTGACGAGAGTGGAAATATTTGCACAATAACACCGCTTTTTTTTGCAGCATGATGTTGCAAGAAAAGCTGCAAACTTTCCTGCAGCTTTTCTTCCAAGCTTTTGTCAGTGGAACTTTTGATACACGCTCTTTATGGGACGAAGAAAGTTTTATGCACGGGACTGGTGGAATGCGGAGGCGTGATCTTTGTTTTTCTTTACAACGGCGAGAGGAAGGCACGCGCCTTGCATATTGCACCGCGAAAGAACCGGTCAGAGCGTGTGGGAGAGGGTAGTTGCAACCTTTGTTCTCCACCCTCACGATACCCCAAGGCAGTTAAAACGGAACCAGAAAGATGCTGGGTAGAGCTAGCACCCTCGGGGTGGCATTGCTGTTGCTGTTGCCTTCCCCTTCGAAAAGTTATCGCTGGAAAACCAAACCATGCGCACACAGTCTGCGAACTTGAATCAACCGCTCTCTGACTTGCGTACTTTAGGTCGATCAAAACCTTTTTCCCGATGCGCACGATACCCCACGGCACCAAACCTTGGGCATGAAAGATGGAGCAGAGAGCTACCTCCCATCGAGCGGCCATGCCATTGCTGTTGCTTCCTCCTTCGGAAAGTTATCGGTGGATAACCAAACCCGTGGCGGTCGAAAACATCGAACTTGATTTAACCGCTCGCGGCCGTTGACGGTTGTGCACAGCACAAACTTTCTTTCCCGGCGCATTCAGTACCTCACGGCCCCAAACCTTGGCATAGCCCAGCAGCCCATGGCATCACCTCCTTCCAGATACCATTCATGAGGCAACTCGTTAAGTATTCGTTGAGATATCGGTGATCATAGCCTTCTCACCATCGATGCTGGAGAGGGTCTACGTGTGCGGTAGGGTTACCAGGTTGACGTGAACCGGCACAGTTTCCGCCGTGTAGCTTTTCTCGCCCCTTCCCGACTCGAGAAAAGCTGCAAAACTTTTTTGCCAGCTTGCAGCTTTTCGCTCCGGAAAAAAAGTTGCAGAACTTTTCGTGCAACTTTTAGCTCCCATACTGAGCGTACATTAGCAAAGCTGCAAGAAAAGTTGCAGAAATGCAGCTTTTTTTGCAACATTGTGCTGCCACAAAAAGCGGCGTAAGACACGCCGCCAGGTCCGCGGCAAGAACATGTTTACATGATACACCACATCGGGGACGAAGGTCCGTCCCACGCTGCCCATGCCTGCGCTGTTGCAATCAATCCCTTACAGCCCAGCGACGCCATGATCTTTCAGCAGAGATCTTCGAGGCCTGCACTACAGGTGTATTGCAGGACCTCCGCGTTCTCAGGCATCGGGCCTTGTCATTGAAACGTGCCATGCTTGCGTGTACAACATGGGTCCGTTTTCAGGGGAAGCTGGACCCGAAGAAGCTACAGCTGCAGCTTACAGGATTCCTGGAGAAATCCACTGGGATGTTCATGGAAGAGCTTTGGGGACTCTTGGTGGACGCTCAAAGTAGCCTAGGGGGGATTCCGTCAGCATTTCTTCAGGACAAGAAGCAAGAACTACTCCAAAAGAAGGTTCGTTGATGCCTTTTTTATGAGTGTGTGGGGGAGGTGAAGACTCAGTAAGCGCATGATCTCTCGCGACCTCAACGTTCATCACGAAGGGCTTGGACATGTTGTCTCCACGTTGGAAAACCGTCCTGGTCTCGGTCAGTACATTCTTGTGTCCGTACTGGTCCAACTCATGCGGACCCCTTTCGTGGCCACAAGCCCACTACCCAAAAGAGCGGTACCCAAGATTTGTATGAATATGCATACGGTACATATTAGCCGACACACGTCGTCTTGATTGCGTTGTTTCTCAGGAACAGGAGGCCAAGCAAGAAGAGGAGTTACGCAGGAGAATGGTGGAACATCAGCAGGAGCTGGAACGGACAGCCGCGTTAGCACAGGCGTAAGTACGAGCGCGCGGAACAACGTCTTGCGTGGTGTCCGCCGTTGTCTTTGGTATTTAGGCAGGGTGACTAAAAGAAGAAGGTGTTGAGAGTGTTTCAAGGCATAAAGAACGTGTTGAGTGCTGTCACGGCATAATGCGAAAACACTTCGCCGAGTTTGTCGTGTCCTTTTACCGTACACATGCGTTTTGTTCCACTGTTCAGGCATGCACCAACGGAACAAGATGCTAGCTCGAGCGCTGCACCAATCCTGACTCGCCCGGGCAAAAGGCGCGCGAGCCGTTGGGGTGTTTCTCAAGTCAATGTCGGGACAGCACCAGACAAGTCGACCCCAGATGCGGAAAATGTCGTTGTCACAGGCAATGATGCTCCTGCTGCCGTCGGTGGCGACTCTGAAATGGTGAGGTTCAAACTTGGTTGGCTTTTGAGTCCCTCTACCAAACGAAAACGAAAACCTCATCGTTCGATGATGCGTTTGGCATGCATCCCTTGTCATTGTCCAAACGCTGGTGACGATTCAGCAGTTTATTTGGATTCCTATGTAGGATACAAATCATTATCGTTTTCGACGGTAGAAAATGTGATGTTGGATGGAACGTGCCTACACCCCCTCACCCCACGCTGTGTTGGTGCCTCTAATTTCGTGCCGGCTGCGTGCAGCACAACGGCGATCGAAGTCCCTCCGACATATCCAGCAGTCGACATGACGATGGAGATCGTCGAAAGGAAAAGCGGAAGTCTAAGAAGAGTAGGCACGGCAAAAAATCTGACCGTAAGAAGCACCGACGGTCCAGGAAGACTGAGGCGCCTGAAAGAAGCGGCGACGAAGGCACCTCAAGCGAAGAAGACGAACAGGGTGACAAGTCTGCGGTGGACGTTGAAGAGGCCCTCAGACAGAGGCTCCTAGCGTCTAAGAAGGAAAGACACACTCAGGGAGATGATTGAAATGCGCCCAAATCATGGAAGTTTCAGCAAGAACGAGGTGCCTTCTGCGAGAGAAAACCTCATCACCTTGAGTATCACCACCCAAAGACGACTTCCGATCTCCCTACCGTAGCTCCGCATCCAAACGGCTAGTGATGTAGCCGCGCACAGCTTCTTGTAGCCGATCTACCTCCTCGTTCGTTAGTGATCGATCCATCGACCGGTACGTAATGCGAAAGCATCTGCTTTTCCGCTGGGTCTTCGGGTGGGTGAAGTCGTCCAGCAATCGGATCTGAAGCGGTCAGGAGTAATTTTTACAGGCAACAATTCAGGTGTGGTCGAACTCAGCTCTTTTTTGCTACTCTAGGACATTTTCTTGGCTGGCTTCGCATCGCATATCAAATGTGAAATCGCCAAACGGTAACGGCTAGATCACATGGCAACAAGCATTTACCTCCTCGACAAGATCTCCTGCCACGTCCCGCACAACCTCGAAGAGGTCGTTGTTGTGGAAATTATCTTCAGGAAGCCAAAATGTCACATCCTTGTAGCACGGTGGGTACTTGCTGTATGGCTGAAACGTCGTGAGCGTTTTCGCCTGACGCGATGAACAACACAAGGGCAAAAGAGACAAGCATGAAATTTGGTAGTTTTTGAACATGCTCAGAAACGGCGCATGAGAGACAAGGCAGAATGTAGAGGTGCCTGGGTTCGTAACCCCCCGGCCAAGTACCGCAAAACTTGTAGATGGCTGTGAAAGACCCGTTTGGGCCAGAGAAAGCAGGAAAATCCGGTACGTCGGACACGCGCGGGCTGCACTGTCACTCCGATGGAAAGGGGTGACAGGTAGGAAGGATTCGGGGGCTTGGCGAGCCATATGTTTTTGTCCCACGTGCGTGTGAAGTATCTCTTGCGTCGACCATGGATGCAGTCTGCTCACCTCAAACTGGGACGAGAACCTGGGGTCTTCAGACCAGAACAGACGAATATCTGGGATCGAAAACAGCACCATAGCGAGCCGCTCGAGGCCTAGCCCGAAAGCCCATCCAATTTCGCCTGTCCTTCCAGCGTTGTCCATAACCTCATCATGGATCACCCCGCAACCCAACACCTCCATCCACTTCCCCTGTGGCAATCAACACACGACATGGTGTGCATCAGTTTTAATGCGCAAAAACATCCTACCGTCGGCGAGTATTTGCAAGGTCGATTCACTCGCCCTACAGTGGGCGCCCGCCCTGTTCTGTCTGCAAAGATAAGAGATTTCATCCACTCGCAACAGCCCCCGACTGCTGCACCTCCAAGTCTTGGAACCCTGGAACCGGACCGGTACCACATTCATCGTCCCTATGCATATGTGCATCCTAGTGTAGTTCAGCATCAAGTCCCGCAAAAAAGCCGAAGCTCGCGATGAGTTGCGATGAAGGTTAAACTTGTGCTTAATACCCGGTAGAGGAAAGCAGCGCAAAGAGAATAATGTGTCATTCGTTGTTGGGAAGAGTTTTAAGTACTTAGGTACGATATCACCGTGACAAAAATCTTCTCTGTTCGCTCTCTCAGTGTGCAACACTCCAGCCTGTCGGCAGGTAAGTACAACTCACCCGAAAGAGAATTTCCAGTTCAGCCGATGGAGTGGTGAAAGGAAAGTACGCATCGACCCAGCGCATTTCCACATTCCCGAACAAATTCGTAGCAAGGCCTTCTAGGCCGCGCTTTAGATCCTTGCTCGCGATTTCCTTTCTCTGGCTGACGTCCCACCTCGCCGGTGCCTATGAGCAAATGCCGTGGGCCATACTGATGGGTAACAAGGTGGCTGCTTTCACCCCCTCGAAAAGTGGCAGCTTAAAACAAACCGAAACAGCCATCTGGAAGATCCGACGTGTTGGCCAAAGTGATGGGCGTTGCAACAGATTTGTTTTTACTCAAGGGCAGTAAGGGTAAGGGTAGGGCACAAGCTGCTCCGGCAGAAACCAACAAGTGACGAATATTCCGCTGCATTTCAATGCGCACAATCACCTACACAGTAAAAAGCGGACGCACCTCTTCCTCGGTGAGAATACGCACTCCCTCCATCTGATGAAACACGGGGTAGTGCGTACTATCCACCTCGTCCCGCCTGTACACATCTCCACAGACAAGGAACCGGTCTTCCCCTTGCCGTAACAGAGACGTTTGGTGAGCGCTCGTGTGGCATCGTAGAACTCGTTGGGCGTCAACGTAGTAGGTGTCTGAAGGCTGTCGACTGACGTGGTCTGGCGGTATCAGTAGCTCATCAAAATTTTGCTCGACTGTAACTATCGGTGGCAAGTCGTCGAAAACCTTGAACTGCTGCTGTCCGAGCGCCTGCGCATTATTCTGGAAGTAGAGCTCGATCCTGCGGCACGTATGCATACAGCAGTACGGAACCGGAAAAAATCATCGACGTCATTTTTTTGCGATAAAGCACAAAACACACACAGACAAGTCCCCTAGACACGCCGCAGAGAAGAGAGAATACCGCAGTCCTGTGAATTTACGAATTTCTTTCGCTCGCCGTCTTCATGTGCATCAGCAACCCTAACATCCTAACAGCACATAACGAACTACTGCTGTTCACTGCTGCCGCACATCAGGCTTCGAGGGAGCGCACCTCTCCTTGATGATGCCAAGAGGATGCGCAGAGCACCGATGCAAGTCTTTACCGATTTTGGCTGCCACAGATGGAGAGACATTGTTGTAAGCATGGTCGTTGATCACCGAACCTGTGCAAACCACCAAGGTTGGCAGTTAGGTACAGCAGTAGTGGTCACGCATGACCGCACGAACAGGTACAAGAACACAGCCTCTCCCTGCTGTGTGTCGCTCATGATTCGCGTAGTCAAAGAAAGACCGTCAACGTGCAAGGTGAACGTGGCCAACCTGGATTAGGCGCGCCAAGATGCAAACCTCTGACGAACCCTGTCCGCGCAGTGGGCCCAGTCCTCCTGAAGCAGCTGGAGAGCATTATGCCTTGTTTAGCTTCTGGTCAGGCGGGCGGAGGGAGGCGGCAGAGGCGGCAAGATCTAATTACGCCGCATTTTTCAGGTTGGTGCCTGTGAGTTGTGCGTGCCAGAGTAGAGGTAGCCGTGGGCAGGCATGCACACGCTCGCTTACAAGCACTAAAATCGGATATATATCACTATGGACAAATTGTGCAGTGCAGGAAAACATGGCGCTTGGATAGTCCGTTCAAACCACAGGCCTATCTTGGGCGAGGAAGAGCATGACGCCTTGGTGGCTTGGCTTGGGGACGAAGGTATGTCGGAAATCTCTCAACTCTGTCAGACGTAGCTAGGAATGCTGCCACCACATGCGACATAGGTTGATCCAGGAGGTACCATATCGCCATGGTACCTGCTACAACTAACCTCCATCAAATTTCATTGGGTATTACCTGTAACGGAAGACTCTTCCATCTCTTGCATAACCATTTGTACTTGCTTGCAGTTGGTCAAAGGTCAAAATTTCAGGAGAACCGTCGTGTGTCGGGTGCTACGGCCGTTCGTCCATGTGAAGAAAAACAACAACATGTAGGACAAGGTTGCTAGGATTTGAATCTTATGCAACGCTTACGAATATGCGTAAACATAGGATTAGATGGGACGAACACAAAACCCGTCTAGTTGCTATCCTCCTTACTGCTGCTTTTCGAATCGATCAATCGTAGCTATCGGGAATCTGGCGAATCGGCCTTGCTGAGCCTACAGAGTACCAACTGAATTCGGAGACGGTTTGCCTTCGAGCTTGTTACGCATGGAATTTGCTAATGTTTCAAAATGAGTTCGCTTTCTGTCGGTACGAACTAATGACATCTAATGTTTGACCAAATATCACCACGGGCAACAGGTTCGGATTTCAATGGTGAAAAAAGGTGGTGGTATTTGCATGTACCGCGCTACGCCGGCGGGTCGTATGTGTTCCGTCCCGTTAGTTCTGGACGTCAGTCTTTTCACTTTCTTTCGGTTTGTTTTCTGGACGCATCAGCTGGGTCGGCCACACAGGAGACCACGTAGGAGTTTTTAGTTTTTTCACCTCTTTCTCTGGTTGATGCTTGCCGTGTCTTGTATTGGAATGTTGTGCACACACGAATTCATCGTTTTCCCACGTTAGTTGGAGGCAGTTGTGATTTTTTTCACTATTCAGTGTCGTTGGTCTTTTCATTTTCTGTTCCTTCTCTTTTTTCTCTTTCTTTTCCAGATGGCCTTTTCCCTTTTCTGCGAAGTGCGAAGATTGAAACACGAATGTACCTCTCTTCTCGGACCCGTGGCGTTGACTTCAAGTTTCATTTTTTCCTCGCATAGCGTGTAGAGGCCAGCTAGCTGTTTTTGATTTTCCCATTGGCTTGCAGACCCTTCGGGTTCGTTTTTTTGAGTGAGCGTATAGCAGTAGCTATTGCTACATCGAGCGACAACTGATAGATGTAGCTGCTGTCAGATGTGTGCGTCCACGGGAGGAAGTGCGTGTGATTGCGAGGGGCACTGGAAGAGAACCGTTTTTTTATTTTTGCATTGGCCTTGTCGTGCATCTGGCCTCTGTCGTTTGCTGTGTCTCCCGCCGGCGCCTCGCGTCTCTTTGACGGTTAGCCACCAGGCATCTGGCGTCTGTCGCTTGTTTTGTCTCCCGCTGGTGCCTCGCAGCGTCTCGTTCACGGTTAGCCGCCAGCTGTTGTGGTGTCTGCTGCTGGCGCCTCAAAGGGTCTCTCTCTCGGTTAGCCGCCCGCTGTTCTTGTGTCGGCGGTTGCCCTCGCTATCGCCTAGCGGCGGCTCTCTGCCGGTCCACCCGCAGCCTGTGTTTGTGTGTGAGTGGGAGAGAGAGAGAGAGAGAGAGAGAGAATTCACGGTGGTTGTGCCATATGCTGTGTGATCGCTCGTGCTATATTCAGTGTGATCGCTCGTGCTATATTCAGTGTGATCGCTCGTGCCCGTTCAGGCTCATGCCTTTTGTACCCTGCCGTGCGTACGATTTGTGCTGTGTGCTGTGTGTGCGGAAGAAGACAAAAAAGGGCCGTTTCGTATTTCAGTTCTGCGGCAATCGCCCATACGCACACGCACCAACGCACCTTTCTGCCCGCGCTCCATCGGTCTCCCTCACACGCCTGGCGACAGCCCTCTGATGAGCAGCAGCTGTCGCCCTGTCAAGCTGTGGGCTGCCTAGGGACTCCCTCTTTCCGTTGCTTTGTCTGCGCCGGGAGTCTGTGTACGCCTCTGACGGAGTTCGGGTCAATCGACCGGAATGGACCTCTTTTCGTTCAATTGCCATGAGCTCACAGCAGCTACACCCCTTATTTTGCTGACCGCTGTATGTTGTCGCTCGCTGTGCCCACTCGGCCCGCTGAGCGTGTGTCGCTGTGCCCGCTGAGCTTGTGTTGTCTGCTTCGCGCGTGTGCCTGTGCGTGTGTTCTGCAGCTCCAATAAGAGCTGCAGTCTGCTGTGTGGTCAACTTATGTACTCTAAAACCTAGATAAAGTGGACAGACACACGCAGAAAATTGTTTCTTGATGGAGCGCTATATTGCGCTAAGATCTCATGCCAGATTAGAAATCTCGCTTGGCTCGTAGAACGTTTTCAGGGTAAACTATTAATAGCTTGTGACTACGCGAATCGACGGCGTCAACTGTTTGGGCAGTACGAACAGAGGTTGGTCATGAATAGCGAGATCGGCACGGATTTTGATGTAAAGTTTTTGTAACATTTGTTGGGCATTGTGCTAGAAAATGTCCCAGTTTGTGCGACTGCGCCGACATTCAGACCCACGCCCGAAATCTGGGAAGGTTGCGAGGTTACCAACTGAACCATTCAGCCACTATTGATTGTGTCACCAAGCAAGTGGGATGAAAAATATTGAGAACACCCAGAGACAAAGTCGGATCGAATGATGTAACCAAGGCACATGAGCCTCAGGGGATGGGCTCGCAGGAGCGTACACATGACCAAAATAAGGCATGTATTTCACGAGAAACAAGGCCTTTCCGCGTCCTCCCTGTCCCCACTTCGTGATTCCCCTTCAGGATGCCTGCAACTCTTTTGCGGCTTCGGGTCCTGCTGTGTTGCTAGCCTCCTCTCGGTTCTTCTGCCACAAAGCCATGATCTTCACGCCCTGAACAGATCTCCGGTGTGCAAAAACAATCCGCTCGCTTTAGAGAGATACCAATTCCGATCACATGAAGCGCCCAACTCCGAAAGCCAGCCAGCCGAAATTGATGGTGGACCCGCGGTAGCTCTTCATGCTTGAAGTCGTCCTTCATGCTTTTTCAGCCAGCTATGACGGCCCGGATCCCCCTCCCTTCTACAGCAGTATCGAATTTGCCGAACAGCTCACGCCAACGGGAGCCGACCCCGGCGAGTTCGGGTGCATAGCAGCTTCCACATTTGTTATTCCGCACCTGGGGTTATTGGTGACGGTTGGTGACAGCAGGTATGGACAGGTGCCAAGGTGCGCGGATGCGTGTAACTCATGACTCGAAGACCCACGGTTTTTCCCGCACAGGAGTATCAAGCGCAGAAAGGCCGGTCGGCGATGAGCAGCTCGAAGTTAGTCATGGTGTTCAATCAGCGAAGTCATGGCGCACGGGCTTCCTGTGTGGCCATTCTCTTCTACTGCCGGTTCAGTGTAGTGGCCATTTCTTTGTTCTTGTCATCAAAATCCCTTGCTCTTTATGTTACACATTTTCAGTTGATCATCCCACAAACATCTCTTGGAGTTCGCATGGACGTATCTCTATGAACCAACCGTATCTAATGCTCTGTTCACGGCAATTTGGATAGGGTACTCAAGCGAAACAAAGGGCAATATACGCGGCAGATGCAAATTACACATTAGGCCACAAAGTAAGGTGTAATTACGACCAGAGAGCTTGCCCGCAACAACGACGCCAGGCTGCCAAGAATCCATAGCGTTAGCAACCCCTACCTACCTATCTGCACCGCGTGGTTTCGATGTGAAATTACGCTTGTGCAGGTACGGGTCATTCAAGATTAATGCGAGCCATGAGCGTTATCCCTCAAAGCCGCGTGGGTGGTGTATAAAACACCTCTTAATGCACAAACAAGTGCAACACCATTATTGCTGTTTATATTGGTGGTTTCAAACGATTTTTAGAAACGTGATTAGCATGAGGCCGCCATTTGCACATTACGATTGAGAGAAACCCAAATTAACACACCACTTGAGGAGTATCAAAGGGTGGTTTCGTGAGGGTTTTCGGCGTCGTCTGCTCAGGCGTCATCGTGGTGGACCCACAGGGTTAGGATTCGACCATGGTCCGCAGATACACTCTAACAAGATTTGGTTGGACATGGTTCAGCGAATGTGCAGTTTCGGCCACCACGTGTTTTGGGTGCCGCCTCAAGCTCGTCCAATCATTCAGGGGGCTTCAAATTGAAGGCCGGTTTTTGGGGTTGTTCCTTACGGGATGACACACAACCTCCTTCTGGCGCCAGCTCTACCTTCCTAAATGTTCGTCTACGGTCTCGATGGTCAATGTCCCTAGTCCTTGAACATTTCACACATGTAGACCCTCCTTCTCCTTGGGGTCTTTGGTTAGATCCCGTTTTTCTCTCTCGGCAAAAACAAACAATTGTCTTGTTCGACCCTCTAGGCTGACCGTTTCCAACATACAACTTTGTTGATTTCAAACCTATGCTTCCTTCGCAACCTCAGGCCACTCTGTGGGTCGTACTTCCTCGGTATCATAAATCTGGTCTGTTATGTGCGTGCAGTAGTAAAGATACTTACACGTTGACGTTTAGCCTTTGGCTGGGTGCGTTAGAAGTGCAAGACATATGCAAAGCTGACTAAAAAAAAAAAATCGAAGACCGCGTATTATTAGGTCAAAATATGCACATTTTGGCCTGTTTTGAGATTTTTTTTAGAACATTTTTTAGATTTTTTTTGGATTTTTTTTGGAATTTGTGAGATCAGTCGTGATTACCACCCCCCACACACCATGCAAACGATGGATACGCCCCCAAGTACCCCCCCACATCGCCCCAAGGGCGGTGAGCTTTCAGTGGGCCGCCGCATTGCAATTGTAGTGGAGGCTGCGCTGGCTATTCCGCCGGGCGAAGTACGGATACCCAAGGGTGCGCTGGGCCCACCGACACCAACAGACACGTTTTCTGCCCGCAAGTGTATTGGTTTTAGTGTGGGCCCCCATGTGTATTGGTTTCAGTGTAGAACCCCCAAGTGTCTTAGTTTTAGTGCGGGGCCACTATTATACTGCTTTGAGTATAGGGGGGCGCGATGTGGGTCGCTGAGTAGAGGGGGGGGGGGATTCGGGCCCTACTCTGTTGTTTGCCCCGCAAGTGTCTTGGTGTTAGTGTGGGATCCCCAAGTGTCTTGGTTTTAGTGTGGAACCCAAAATGTCTTGAATTTAGTGTGGGTCACTTTCAATATGGTTTTAGTATGCGGGACGTATTGTGGATGGCTGAGTCTAGGCAGGGTTAGCTTTAGGGTTGGGGATAGTTGTTGGGTTTTTTGGGGGGGGGTTAGGCTCAATGCCCCACGTACCCCACCCCNGCCCCGCAAGTGTCTTGGTGTTAGTGTGGGATCCCCAAGTGTCTTGGTTTTAGTGTGGAACCCAAAATGTCTTGAATTTAGTGTGGGTCACTTTCAATATGGTTTTAGTATGCGGGACGTATTGTGGATGGCTGAGTCTAGGCAGGGTTAGCTTTAGGGTTGGGGATAGTTGTTGGGTTTTTTGGGGGGGGGTTAGGCTCAATGCCCCACGTACCCCACCCCCCGGAAAAGGGCAAAATATGGCCGTTTTTGGGCCGACTCAAAGTTTTCCGGCCGTTTAGTCGCATGGTTCAAGCACCAGCTTAAAAAAAAAAAAATCTTGCGAAAAAAACGCCGTAGAATTCAACAAAAAAAACGAAAAACAGATCGGACACCGTTAAGGCGGCGTATAAAACCTAACAGACCAGACTTGTGAGACAGAGAAAGTATATCCTTTGCTGTTTTTCCCCACTTCGCCTCCCAAGTTATTTTCGGCGATCTCTCCTCTCGCACATCGAGCATGCGGTACGTAGTTTAGCTCCTCGTGATCTCTTCACATTCGTCGGGATTGGATTCCCATATCTGCTGTGCTGCTGCACTATTTGTGCACTTGGAGCATTCTATGATGGTTTTCACTGCTTTCATGTGCGCCTCCTCCAGCTCGTTAACTATCTTCTTGCTTTCTTCCCACACTACCCCGGCGTACTCTAATGCGGGACGATGACGGTCTTCAAAACCGTAAATTTGATTCGTGTATCCAGGTGCCGATTTGCGAGTATTGCGTTCAACTTCGCTCTTCGCGCTTTGCCCTATTCGGTTTCTTCCGCAACTGTTGCGGGGGGCTAAGGGGGGGGGGGGGGGGGGGCGTACTCATATGTTTTGCATGCCTTAGCGGTTCGACCATTGACCACGCGTCCTCGAGATGGAGCACTGTTCCCACAGGACTGATCACCGATGGCCAATCGTTGCTTCCTATTTTGCCAAAGGTGGCTCAAAAATGTTTCACCTAGCCTACCTATCCTACCGGTATCACTTTCCGCCCTTTCAACCCACTTCGCATGTCCAAGTACAGCTACCGTCTTCTCGTGGCCATTCCATGCCTCAAACATCTCCCTGCATCTTCCTTCTACTTCTCCCAGCTCATTCATGTGCACTTCCCTCTCCTTCTTGTACAACGGACATTCCTGGCACTACATGAACCCGGTCTTGGCACTTGGAGCCGAGTTCACATTTGATCTTGTCTTCTTCATCGTCTACCTCCCTTAATCTTTGTCTACGTTCTCGAAGGGCAATGTCCCCGGTCCTTCAGCTTTGTCCCTGCATCCATTGATCCATTTAGGTACTCCTGGAACCCTTTTCATTCTTTCAACATTCCGTACACACATGTAGACCCTCTTCATCCTTGGTTTCTCTGGTTATGTTCTGTTCTCTCTCGGCAAAAGCAACGGATTATCTTCTCCTTGAATCCATCTAGATCTTCCGTTCCCAGCGTATCACCTTCGTCAATTTCGAACTCCTTCCATACGTCATCTGCAACCTTGATCTATTCCGTGGGTTGTCTATCCCTCTTCTTGTTTGCCCACTCCGCCTCCCAAGCTATTCTCGGCAACCTCTCCTCTCCCTACCGCACATGCGTTGCTGCCATTTCAGCTTTCTTACGACTCTTCCCGATCGTCGGGATTGGATCCCCTGTTCTGCACTGACGGCTGCATAACTGTGCGCTGGGAGCATTCTGGGATGATTTCGCTGCTTTCATCTGCGCCGACTCGAGCTCTTTGACTTCCTTCATACTTCCTTCCCATACTGCTGCATATTCTAGCGGCGGTACGAATACGCTCTTCAGAACTGTCAATTTGATGCATGTATCGAGGTGCCGGTTTGCGAGTATTGGGTGCAGCTTCCATGCTCGTGCTTTTCCGTTTTCCGATACCTTGGGCATGTGTGCGTTTCACTAGTACTCTTTTGCGACATTTACTCCCGAGGTATGTGTACTGATCCACTATTGCAAGCTCCTCGACTCCCCAATTCCATCTATGCTCTACTGGTTTCTCCCTGCCCTTGTTGCATGCCACGACGACACTCTTCTAACGTTGGCATCCAATCTCCACCTATCCGAAAAACCCTTCGGTGCGTCAATCTGCAGTTGAATTCCCTCAGGGGTAGCAGAATGCCCACAAAATCATCCGCAAACAGCATTCCCGACACTGAAGTTTCCCCTTCCTTTACTCCCTTCCCGATTGCCTCTACGACTTTCAACAGATCGTTGACGAACACCTGGAACAATGTCCGGGGCAAAGTGCAACGTTGTGGGACCCCCTGTCCAGTGTTGAAGAATTTAGACAGTTCCCCGTCTAACATGACAACGCTTTTCGTACACTTTGTCATCTTCAGCATTCTCCACATTTTCCCCTTCACTCGGACACTTCTTTCCACAGCCCATTTCCCCATACTGTATCGTATGCGGGGGGCTTGAGGGGGGAAGAGGAGTTCTTTAAAGACGTGTTAAACGCTCTCACTCGAGCTGCTGTGTCACGAAGAAACTCCGAGGTGGGGGGAAACGGGAGAGCTGGCCCTCTGTCTGCATTGCTACTGGGCAACCGTTTTTGTTCGGGATGCATGAATCGCCGAGTATCGCGGGGCTTTCGCGGTACGTGCCTTGCCATTGTTTGTGTCCACCTTTCTCATGGCTATTTGCTAGGAATACAACAGCAGTCCTTAGTCCAACCAACACCAACACAAAACAGTTCACTTCTTTGCCAAGCTGCCTGTGAACAACACATCTTACACAGCACAAGTTTGCACGCCACTTGCGCGCACACGTTTTTCCAGCGGAAATGTTCAAACTCTCTCTCTAGGTCGCAACAGCACCCGGATAAGAAAGAGAGCAATGTCGTTTCCCTAACAAGAGGCATCGCAAGAAGAGACTACTGTCTCAGCATCGCTACAATGGTACAACATCACGAGAACGCCCCTTTCCTGCGTCCGTGACAACCGGGAGAGCGAACAACCTGTAGACAATGCTGACGACGGGACGAGTGGAGCACCTGTGCGGCGTGCTGGACAATAGCGTCGGCCGTTCTACCCACTGAGCAAGAGCAAGCTATGTACTCCGAGAGTAGGCCCGAGCGAGCTGTTCCCCTGGCCAAGCCCCTACTCACCCGAATCTATTACTCCGCACGAACAAGGGTCTCCCTCTTCCGCTCGCCCAAGCCCCTGCTACTCACCCCCATCTATTGCTCCTCACGTCCCTGGCCACCAAACATGCTCATGGCGCGCGCAACAAACTCCCAGCGATGGCATTGGTTCCCTTGCGCGCTGGACCCAAGCTGCGGTGTCGCCTCGTACTGCAGGTTACTGTGCACCATGCGCGCGAGCACGAACGAAAACGTCATGGTATCTCCTCTGCCAGTCGAGCACTTCCTGCGCGTAGAGGCCGGAGGATTGGCGTTTTTTTTTCTCTCACGCAAAAGACAGTTCACCTCCATCCGCGAGTAAAGGGTACCAGGATAAACTGTATAAACATTTAAATTCATGTGAGTCTACAATCGGGCCGGCACCATCGCGCACCGACCCTACCGCCTTTCGATTTTCTCCCCTGACCGCACTATAACTATTTTTCCTTTTTTTTATGGTTTTGATCTCGCGGAGAACATCTGCCTGTGGTCCCCATGCCCCTCTGATCGCATTGTTGTTTACTGTACAAGAGATAAATGCAGCGTCTGTGTGCCTCGTTTTTATGTACTTGAACGTAGAGTTCGAGATGAGAGCCCGTTCTTTCTTTGAACGGATCCGATATTGCATGTGGGGCAGAGGGTAGCAGGACTGCTGTGCGTATGTGTACGGAGAGTAGTGCTAAATGAGGGAAGCTTTTGCAGCACACACACCTGGATATCGAATATTACATTGGTGTTGGGCGGACGAACGCCCTCGTCTAAGGCTCTGCTTGGAAAGGCGTTGGAGGACCCAACTCGCGTCCGGGAATGGCTGCAATCGTCCAGCTTACAGCTTTTTCGAGCAGGGCCTTCAGCACTAGGTACCTCGTCCAGGGGGGTTGTGGCCAAGTCATCCCCGAACTCCTCTGGCTCATCGGAATTATGGCTAGGTACTGCTTGCTGAATCTACTTCTGCCTCCGCGTCGGTATCGACACGCTCGGACGTCTCGGAAGTGGGACCGTGAACGGGGGCACTTTTCTCTTTGTACACGTCTCCTTATGTGCGTATCATAATCAGCCATGAAGGCAGGAGACAGCAGAGTGCGTCTGGCTGAGCTGCTCTAATTGTAGAAATCGTTTCAAGTTGTGCAGATAGCGCGTGATCAATGCGTCCATATATACTGAACAGAGGACGAAACATGGGTACCAGTTCAGATTTTTCTGCACACAAAGTATCAGAAATATCCTATTGAATCTCCCAGGGCCTTACGGTGCTGTCCGGCTTATCTACGTAGAGCTTGGTCACGTTTTCTGTATACTGCTGTCAGATCTCTGTACGAGCGATGATACCAGGTGGATATGTCAGCCCCCAAACGGTAGTTGATGCACAACTTCCCCCCCCTCCGACACGTGCAGCATCTAGTGGTCCGCAGGTGCTGGCGTGTGGATCGGTGGTCGTCAAAGGCACCCCTATGCAGGTATATCGGAGCTTGTTCGACATCATGAGCACTATCCACCTTACGGTCATTCTCGATGGCAACATCAAAACAAGCTACGAAAATGAGGCATTTAATCCTTTTTCATTTGGTTTTTGAAAAGCTATTTTTCCATGGAGTCTCGAGTTCCTTGCTTCTATCCTTTGGGTGAAGTCTCTGCTTGCCGTTGTAAAAGATCTTCAGCGCGTTTCATGCCAACCTTGGACATGAGCGGCCACGAACGGCGGTGTGTACCTCGGGCCTTTTTTCTTCCCATCAAGCGGCTCTTGGTAGATTCTGTTGTATCCATGTGTTGTCGTGTTCGTTAATAGCTCATGTGGTATCAATGGGGCCACGGCACGATCTCCGCCCTGCCTGTACGGCGCCCATGGAAAGATGTGTGTGTTATGTCGCTAGTTATCATCAACGCTGTGTTTCGTGTTTGCCCGACACCCAACACGTGATGGTTGTGTCGTTTCATCTGTCATGCTCGATGGGGATCGAGTTGGGCCTACCGGCAGGTGGCGTTGCCATGCCCCCATTGGTGAAGAGAGCCCTTGCCACCCGCGATGAAACAGTACTGCTTCGTGTTGTGTGGCGTGCTGCCGTCTTGTCCTGTCAGGTCAGTGGCATCGACGACCATCTAACGAATCGGAACCGTGACGTTTGCATGTTGATGAACACAGCTTCCTGAAATTCTCTTTGGAAACAACGCTCTGGAGTTCCGTCACCAAGAATCTGGGTTCATTCTTCAATTTGAAGCAAGGGCTGCCTTGAAGAGATGGGTGGATCTGTTCGCTGAGGGCGCCTTCGAGGTACCGTGTTTGATGGTTCATCTGATTCCTTGGGCGCACGGCACATTGATGCTTGTTTGATGAAGCCACCACGCCGCACGGCACCCACCCTCCTCATACCAAACCAACTTTGTCGAGCATTCTGCACATTTTCGCAACGGACACCCGAAGATGCATGAATGTCGCATGGTTTTCGACGCGAACGCCCCATAAAAAGAGCCCCTACATAATACGACTTCGAGGCCACCCACGCACCAAATGCATGAAACCGATTAGGTCATCAAGGTCCGAGAAGCGCACAAGTGGCAAACGCGTACTGGCACACCTATCAGAAAACAGGAGTACGACTGGACGTGGGGAACGGACTACGCCGGCTCGTGCCGTCGACAGGATGTGGGTGTTGAGTGCAGCGAGGTGAGAGGTTTAACAATGATGTATCGATGTATCATTGCTTCACCAACACCACGACTAACCGGTAGAAACGCCCGGCGGTCACTGGTGCGGCAAGAGGTGAATGAAGCAAGAAGTGATGTAGCTGATCGTAGTGCATGTGTTTGCTTTGATTTTTCAGGCAGTTTTTTTCAGATTGGACGGTAGGTACTCGGCGCAGGGCTCGAATGTGATTAGTTTTTGTTTACTCATGCCTTGATGATTCTCGCAATACTACGAAGGGCTTGCCCCGCGGCTTCATTCCTATCGAGCGGTTGTATCCACTAGTAATTTCTTCTGAGCACGCCAAAGATTGTGTCGAATAATTTCTCTGCGGTTGGCCTCCCGCATCTCTTGCATTGTTACCTTAGGATGACAATGAAAACTAGCCATGAAGAAGCGCTTCCCTGTTGAAATGGCCGGTTCGAGAGCCTGGTCCCGCTGTTCCTGTGCCGCTCAACCCAGCGATCTCCAGCGCCCCAACATGTGTGAGTTTTCTTTGCCCTTTTCGGTGCAGAATGGAGACATTCTGCAACCACTCACAAGAACGGGCAAGGATACGAAGACGCCGGTAGAATGGGTGGCATGCGAGCCGGGTGGAATCGATCGTCAGATGCTTCTTGACCAGAGCAGCCCGATATTGATGTACGACGACGTCGTGCTTTTTGAAGACTTCATCCATGATCACGGAGTAGTGCGATTGAGTGTCAAGACAAGAGTGATGCCTGGATTCTGGTTTGTTCTGCTGCGTTACTGGCTGCGAGTGGATGGCGTGGTGATGAAGGTATGTATGTCCATGCACGTACAATCGGGAGAGGTCGAACACATCTATACCTAATGCAAGTGATCCCTTCGGAGTGGGCTCACAAGAGCACAAGTGTCGTACGGGGTGATGCATGATGAAAACAAAAGCATGCAGCAGGCCGAAGCCACAGCTGGCTGCCAGCTGTGATGACGTTTCCCAAGCTCAACAGCTCACACACCTGACGTGTGTTTGACTCGAGGAGTCCAGCAAACCTCAACGAGCGACGAAGGGAAGTTAGAATTTTTGAATCCATATTGTATCTGTATAGTCTTACGGTTCAGCGCTATTTTAGTTCCTGCTTTGCGAACGCATCTTTCCCTAACCGCTTCGCTTTTCCCGCACTTCTGGGCAGGTGTTTGATACGCGCTGCTTTCACAAATTCGGCGAACTGAGCGTGTTTCGCGAGCGCACACAACACTCTGTCAGTTTCACGTCCCTCGAACAGCGTGGGTTGTCGACGGACCCATCGGCCTACCCAAACGCTGAGTCGGCTTTGCCTGTCCTCGACTTGTCATCAGGTGCCGATTTCCAAGAACGTTTCTCGCGACTTCCCTGGTGACATGACACTCCTTTAGAATTGTCGATTTTGTTGATGGTCACAACTGACAGAACATTTGAGGTTCGTTTTTCTTGTATCTTTCGCAGGACTCCGCCCTCTCTCCCTGTTAAAGTCAAGGCATGTGGTGGATTATGTATAGAAGGTCAACCTCGTTGTAGGATCTGGATGAATTCTTCAGTGTTTTGGGCCTTTGCACAGTCCCCCTGCCACGTCATTATACCCAGATCATCTGTTGCTGGACTCTCCACGCGTGAATAGAAGTGCAATAACATAAGGTCTTCAACGCGTAAGGTGGCCCCAACTTGTGTAAGAGGTACCACTAGCAAAACCGTGAGGACCGCCGACCCGTCTTAGGGTTGCTATTTTCGACCTATTAATCCTTGTGCCCGCCCCCGAATGTTCAATCTTCCGCAACTTAGGTCCCCTGAATGATTTTACGACCTTGCTCCCAGACCAGGCCAAGATCGGCTAGGATGAGGCACTTCGAGTCGAAGGTATCGACGTGCACATGTTGCCGTACTGGGTGGGAAGTGCGAAGTTTTGCGTCGATGAAACGACTCATCTCATATTCCCCTGCACACTTATTCTTTCGTGCTCTCATACCTGGCCCTTGCGCGACGTCTAGATAAAATATGTGAGCACAGCAACGATGTCACACAGAAAATGATGTCTCAGCGTTTGCAAGTCCTCTCCTATACTCGAATGAGCCCAGTGTTGGCCACTTAGACACGTATGAATCTATGAATCTATTCCTTCGCCAAAGTTAGCAGCAAGAACGCCGTTTCAACATTTGGTGCAAATAGAGATGTGCCTCTTTAGCAGCAGTAGGTGGGAACTTGAACGGTTTAATACATGTGCTCTTCTGCGGTGAAGTTATGTAGCAGATAGATAGTTCGAGGTACTAGTTTGTTGAGCGTGTACGATGAACGTGGCGTGATGTATTTCGTACGCACAAAGTCGAGAATACTTGTACGTGCATACCATACCTATCTCTTGGTCAAACTTCAATTGCGTACGTCGACGGGATATCACGAAATTTGAACACCTCTTTTTTCTAGAGCGTTGCTGATGAGAAAGCTAAGGGGCCCTCTTTGGATGAAGGAGCTAGCTATCGTGGGGGCCAAACAATAGCGGGCTTAAAATTTAACCATGTGGTATGTCACAGGTCGTGCCGACCAGAATGTCAGTATTATGACAATATCTCTGGCGGCTTTTGTACTGCCGTTGTTGATTACTTCAAGGACAAGTCTTTTGCGAGTGTACGCTCTCCGCGGGTGCGTGTAGAAGTACTCAAAAGTTCAATCGGAGGTGTTCTTTTGTTTCTTTCGACCGGACTGTCGGCTTCTCCTTCATTGTTCGGGTTATCGAGAGATGCCACGGCGGGAGAACCGGGCGCGCGACTTGCCCGGGCGGGTGTCAGCGGCTGTCGGCGGGTGGATGAGCTCATCTCCCCGAAACAGCGGGTGCGAGCGACACGAAGAACAGTAGGAGGAGCAAAAGCACAGCCGCCGCGGAACAGCAGTCGCCCCACGTACACGAAAACCTTCGGCGCTGTTGATTCTCTTCTGCAATAATTATTAACAGGCGATCCTGATCATTGAGAACAATTCTTTTATTGAGAAAAAAAAATGCTTTTGTCGAACCAAAAATTACGAAAACATTTCTGGAAATAGGTCAGGCCCTCCGACCCACGGTAGGCTGTTTTCAAGCGTCGTAGTGTGCCGGAAGGTCGCCATAGACTCGGAATGTTGTCGACTCGATCTTTCGGGGTCGACTTAATGACAGGCACAGACAAATAAACGTTGTGCCTGGAACTTCGTAGGTCTGTGTCTGCCGACAGATGTTGCGAATCTACATACTGTAGTCTTGAACGCGTAATTTCTCAAGCTTTTCCAACTTGTACCGTGTCAATGACACCTCGGCTTGTCCTCCTGCGCGCTCTTGAAAATGCTACGGAACCAACCCCCGTCCGGCAGTCGTGCGTTGTTGCTGCTGTACTCTGTTTTTTTGTGGTAGTGCTCCAATGTTGGAGTATTTATCGGTGGTGGTATTGATCAGGGAAGAATATTTTATCGATGCGCTATTGCATACGGCTGCTGCGTCTAGACTATTAGAGTAAATATGCCGATTAAGGACCACTTACCGGAGCCTCCGCTCTGAGAGGTCGTTCTCGGGTGTCTTGACGATTTGCGGCGACAGAGAGGTATCGAACGTTTGCTTACAACACGACCTAAACGATGAAACAACAAAAAACAAAAAAAATGCATGTGGTGATGACATGGTGCCAGCGTAGTATTCTTCATTTGTCAGAGAAAAATACCGGTAAAACACAAATGCCCCGATTGAGGACCACTTCGAATTCGTAGTGATTGCGCACGTTTTAATGATTTCCAGAACTTTTTGTTTGGCAAGTATCGTTATGGTAGGAATACAAAGCATTTCCGAAAAAAATATTAAAAAAACATGCATGTTGTTGTTGTTGTTGTTGTCTTCACATTAAACCGTATGTCAGTTGCTAAATGCCAAAATCTAGCAAAAGACTCTCAGCCCGTGGTCACGAAGTTCTAGAGCCATCTGAGGATCTAAAGAACGCGCACATATATAACGAGAAAAAGGTATCCAAGAGCCCGAAGAGGTACACCTAAAAATCCCTGCAGCACCGTATGCGTGCCCAAAAACTGAACTGCACGTCCGTCCCACCGTTCGACTACAGTAGCATCACCCCCTCCCTGTCCCACTCTATACCAAAACGGAAGATTGCCGACTACAGCATAATGCTGTCTGAAGTGCTGTCTGTACAAAAACACCATGGTAGGCATGGAACAAGCAGCTGGCGGGGCACAAAGCTGCTGTCTGAAGTGCTGTCAGAATGTGTCTGCGGCCGTACAGTGAAAAAGAACAACCAACCAAAGCCATCATAGCAGCAATTGACAATCACCCGAATCTCTCCCGATCGTCTGTGTAGGCACTGCAGTGAAAAATATCGACACTAGCTAAGAATCGTTCCACATTGAAGGGGTCTTCCACGATCAGGCACAAAACCAATGCACCCGGGTTAGCCACGCCATCTCTGACGGGTCTCTCTACAAAACCGGTGACGATGTCATTACACAAAACTAACACGGAAAGTCAGAAAAAAACGAAAAAAATTGATAACACAGAAATGTTTGTCCGTGCGCCACAGGTCGATGTCGCCCGCATGCTCCGGTGCCATTGCT